ATATGTAGAGAGCTACCACAGATTCCCAATTCACAATCCTTTTAAACAGTTTAGAAGATAATCTTCACCTGCCCCAGTGTTCTTCCAATTTTCAATTTATCATTCAATTTCTACATTTCTGAAAAAGTAACTGGCATCAATTTAGGTAACAAATTATTATTTTAGAGTTAACACATGTCATGATTGACTCACTATGCAGCCCCGCTCTGAACCAGACAACAGTAGTGGGATGGGGGAGGGAAAGCAGTGGAATATATACGGGAGGTTTGGGAATGAAATTTGGAATGCAAGTGTGCTGACTGGAAGGTGAGACAGACTCAATACTTCAAGGTCACTGGCTGGGAATGTCCGAGGCAGACAGACCATTCCCAAAACAAAGCGAGTTCAAATGATTGGTGGACAATGGACAATGGGAAGTCTGGGGAAAAAAGGGAAAGTTTTCCTATGCTGTTTGTTCATGAAATCATTAGAACCGGCTTTTCTACTTCTGTACCCATATGGAATCTTCAGTAAAATTATACTCTTGGTAAAAAAATGTCCCAGGAGTTTATTTTGGGATGGTTACATTACACCAGTTCTCATAGAAATAGCCTACCTGGATCCCGACAGGAGGTCAACCCCGAAATATTGGTTATGGGCAAAAACTTAGAAGAGAAGAAGCCGGGAGGGGTCCTGGCTTGGGTAAACCAGCACCACCTCAGTATGGAGCAGGAGTGCAACCAGCCAGTGTGCACCCGAAACCAAAGAGAAGTCTGAGCAACTGGCTGCAGCCACTAAGTGAATGAGGGATGTACCATACCAGGGGCCAAAGACAACAAATGTGGGCAAAGGCCGGGCAAGGAATGTGGGCAAGGCAGCGAAGGTTGAAGATCCCCTTCTCCCTTCTGGGGTCAACGTGGTTCAAGGCAGCAAGTGCAAAGTGAAGCAACTAGCTGAATGGGACAACCCTGTTGAGCTCCCGACCACCAGCCGCAGCCCATCCATGAAACAGTTGAGGGGAGAAGTTTGGAAGGATGGAGATTCATAGTACACCAACGCTGGGAGCCACAACCGCTGCCAACAGGCCAGGAGTCATGAGAACCCCGGCGGTCCTGGCTACTCCTGCTATTCTTCAGCTGGTGGCACCGGCGACCAGAGCCCCTGCACAAGCAGCAGCGGGCTTTGCCACTCCTCCATTGCAGCCAGCAGCACCAGTGGCCCTGGCTGCAGTTGGTGCTCTGGCACAAGCAGCTGCAACTGGAATCCTGGCACCGGTGGTGCAGCTGGTATTCTGCCCCAGGGATTCATCCTGGTACAGGAGGAGTGCCAGCCACTCCCCTGGTGGCCCATGTTGATGGGCGCCCAAACTGCCTAGCCCATTTCCTGGCTCAAGCCTGGCACCACATGGAGCTTTATGGAGTGATATACCCAGACACTATGGCCCGGGTCCATGTCATTGTGGTCAATCTGGAAGAAAGTGCATTGAAATGTTTGTTGTCACTGCATGATGAAAATGCCCCAGAGCTGGAGAACCTTGACCCCTACATGCAAACCCTGCAAGAGCATTTGAAGAGCCCACAGCAGCCCGGCATGGAAGCCTGCATTGATGCCCTGAAGCAGGGGAAGTGACCGGTAATGGAGTACATTCAAGATACCACTACCTAGCCAGCCACTTGAGAGACTGGCCTGACTGCTTACTGGTCTATCATTTCCAACAGAGACTGAACAAAAAACTACCAGAATTGCCTACTCTGGGGAGGTGCTGCGCAACTTGCGAGCATGGTACCATGCGGCCACTGAGGTAGAGATCACCTGATGGAGTTCCATGAACACACTGGGCAGGAGAGTCAGTCCTGCCCTGTGGAGAAGTGAGTGGCTCCTAGAAGGGGAAAAAGGGGTGCACCTCCAGCCAGAGGAGGGAGACCCCGCCAGAACCTTGGTGGAACCAAGTGCCAAGTGTTTCATGCCGTGACTGATAACCGCTCCCCTGCCTCTGAGCCAACCGAAGAAGAAAAAAACTCCCCCGAGGCCAAGGGAGAAAACTCATGCAGGGCAACAGGTCAACAGGCAGGGCTTTTTTTTTTGTCCCTGGTCAAACGAGCCAAGCCGAGCTGACACCTAGTTTTTTTGTTGGTGCTGTTGGAGAATCTGCTGCTGTTTGGGCTTCAGGACTAGAACTGCTTCTATAAGTATTTAAAAATTTTTTGTTGTTACTCTAGAATGCTTGTAAACTGTTTGGAAACTGCTCTTCTTTTTAAGTAGTCACTATTTGTTTCTAAGTACAGTACTTGTAGAAATGCTAGCCAGCCTCCTCACAAGGCATTCTCTAACGTTGTGTTTCCTTGCTTTTATTTTGGAGTTTAGCATATATTATTGTAATTTGTAGGTTTTAAATTTAAATTGCCTCCAGAAGTTGTGGGTGTCCCATTATTGAAAGCTTTTAAGAAGAGACTGGATAGGCATTTATCAGAAATACAGTACTCTCTTGTGAGAGCAGTGGGTTAGACTAGATGATCTTAAGGTCCCTTCCATCTCTGTTACTGTTGCAAGCCAACAGTTCTGTAAATCCCTCTCCCATCTCCCTCTGAGTGCCTGGCTAGAGACTTAAGCTAATTAATGGCAACTGCAAAAATCTTTGCAAAAGGAGATGCAGCCTGCTTGCAGGCATTTAGTTCCTGAGCAGAAGCAAACAGCTGATGGGCGGTGACAGCAGCGGGAAGGCCTCTCAGTTCAGGCAGAGATCAGTGAACAAAGTTGAGGAAATAGTAAGTCAGATCTTTGTTCATTTAACGATCCATTTGATTTAATTAATGAATTTGATTTTAAACATTTGTAAAATTGAATCTGATTCATTTGATGAATCAGGCTCCATTAGGTTCGTACTTCAAGGACTACCAGTACTGCAATGGAGCCGTGATGCAAAGGCGGCAGGGCATTTTGGATTTGTAAAAACCTTTCATCTCGTAAAGAGACAGATTTGGTGACCATGGATGAAGAGACGTAGAAGCCTACATAGCCAGCTGCCCTGTGTGTTCTTTGGTAAAGAGGCTGTCCGGCAAGCCTCCAGGACTGTTACAGATGGTGGACAAGCCCACTGTCCTCTGGAGAGAGATATCTATGGACTTTATTGGGGATCTGCTGGAGAGTTCTTGGAATACTGTGGTCTGGGTCATTACAGACTTATCCTCTAAGCAAGCCCACTTTGTAGTGTGCCCAAGTATCCCTTCTGCTCAATTCCTAGCTAGATTGTTCATACAGCATGTGTACAGCATTCCGAAACACATAATCTTAGATCGGGGAGTGCAATTCACATAAAGGTTTTGGTGTGAGTTCCTGAGCTTTTAGACTCCTCCCAGGGACTTAGCTCCACCCATCACCCTCAAACGAATGGAGCCTGTGAATACAAGAATGCAGTCTTAGAGCAATACCTTTGATACTGTGTGAACTACCAGCAAGACAATTGGGCTGAACCTCTGCCCTTCGCTGAGGTGGTATACAATAACTCTGTACCTAGCAGCACCAGGTTTACCCCCTTTCAAGTGGCCACCAATGTGGAATTTGTGCCTATGCCAGAGCTCCCTAAGGAGACCCCTTCATCGACTTCATTGCCTGAGTGGATAAGTACTTTGAAAGTCATCTGGCCTGTGGTGCACAAATTGGAAGCAGCAAGGGAAGTGCAGAAGAGACAGGCTGACAAGAAGAGAGCACCTCAGAAAGAGTTTAGAATAGGGGATGAGGTATACCTATCCTTGAAGTTCTTGTAGTTGGAGCAGCCCTGCAAGAAGTTGGAGCATCAGTATATAGGTTCTTTCCCTATCATCTGGATTATGAATCTGGTAATGGTGAAATTGAAATTGCCAAAAATAAAACCTCAGGCGCATTCACCTAGTGTTTCACTGTAATTTGTTAAAGCCCTTCCGTAGCTCACTGCTGATGCCGACCATTGAGCCTCCCCCTCCCATATGGGAAGGAGACATTTTGAGATCAAGGAGATTCTTGACTCTTGATGTTACAAAGGGAAGTTGTAATAGTTAGTCTTATTGAAGGGGTTTCCCTTGGCAGAGGCAGAATGGGTGACGGCAATGAATGTCCATGCCCCTAGACTCATGCAGAGGTTCCATGTTAGGTACCTGGACCTACCCCAATAGGTTAAATAGTGCAAAGTGATCATGGTGTAATACGAGTATTTTTGCTTCCTTGTAGGATTAATCATCTTTTGGGAGGGTCAGCATGTCATGGTTGACTCGCTATGCAGCCCCACTTGCAATCAGACAGCAGTAATGGGATGGGGGAGGACAGGCATTGGAATGTAAGGGAGGGTTGGGAGGGAAATTTGGAATGCAAGGGTGCTGACTGGAAGCCTGAGATAGATCCAACATCTCAGGGTCACCGGCTGGGAACAAGACAGGCAGACCATTCCCAAAACAAAGCGAGTGCAAATGATTGGTGGAGAATGGACAATGGAATATCCAGGGGGGAAAGGGGAATGTTTTCCTATGCTGTTTGTGCATGAAATAGTTACAATTGGCTTTTCTACTTCTGTACCCATATGGAATCTTCAGTAAAGTTATATTCTTGGTAAAAAATGTCCCAGGAGTTTCTTTTGCTATCTAACCCAGTGGGACAGTTGACACACAGGATTCTTCTTCATTGAACAAAGCATGCAAAAATGCCTTTCTTAAACTTTGGTTTCAGCATGACAATCCATACTTATTTCTTCACCTTTTAGACAGTTCACTATCAATGTCAAAACATTTGATAAGTTGGATCAGTTTCTTTTGTGTTTCTCTTTCAGCATTTTTTTCCTTTTTTCCAAAATTAATCTTTTGAATTCAAATGACATAGAATGGTCAGTAAAGTTGGATAGTTAGTAATACTATATTCCTTACAGAGTTGTTAATCTATCTTGGTAAAGTTTTCTTAAGTAGGGAATATTTATATTAAAGCAAACTTTTCAATAAAATCGTTATGGTAGATATCACTTTACTAATAATCTGATTGTGTTAAATTCTGTATAGCAGAAACCCTGCCAAATGAAGAAACATCCAAAGAGCACAGGTTTGCTGAGAATTCAATGGATTCTGCACTTAATTCAGTCACCCTGTCAAGTCCTAACAATCAGAATTCCACTGAATATTATACCTCAGGGAACACAGTCTATTTTAGGCATTCTCTTCCTTCAGTATCTGCTACCTCAAACACAGCACCAAATCTACATAAATTATCAAGTGCTACTGGGAACAGAAGTTATTGTGAAGTTGCCAGAAAAAGATTGCAACAGAGAATTGAAGGTATTCTCAAGCTTTTCTAAAATCCATGCTTTGTTTGTGTGCACATAAATATGTATATTCATAAAACTGGCTCTAAAATCATTTTATTATTCTAAGTTTACAAAAGGAATCAGCAAATTTAGCAGACATGCCCAAACCATAATCTTCACTTTGTTCTATTGACATCCTTGGCACAGACTGTGGGTAGCTAATTTAGCATTTATTGAGAGAGAGAGAGAGAGAGAGAGAGAGAGAGAGAGAGAGGAAAGAAAGAGAAAGAAAGAAAGAAAGAAAGAAAGAAAGAAAGAAAGAAAGAAAGAAAGAAAGAAAGAAAGAAAGAAAGAAAGAAAAAAAGAAAGAAAGACCACATACTGTAGATTATACTTGTCTGTTTTCTGCTTCTGGATTTCTCTTTGAGGTAATCTCTGTCGTAATTGAATCACAACATAAATCAAACCATAATCTATTATTTTTGTCAAAATGAGCAATTTTGCTTTGTTTTATAAATGTTATTATACACGTTGTTCCTTGAAGGAAAATCCAATACAGAGGAGTTTTAAGAATAAACATGTATGATTAATAACTAACAGAAACAAGCTACTATCATGGCCTTTCTAACTTAGTACTCTCCAGGTGTGCTAAAATAATAATTTACAGAATGTTTAGTTGGAAGCTGTCATAAATAGGAATTTGGAGAGCCAACATTTGGAAGCCACTAGATTGGGAAAGATACCTTCCCATATTGTATTTGTGTGTGTGTGTGTGTGTGTCTAATGTATAGGTCATTACTACATTAACAATAGCAAGATATTTTCAGATTACGCTCATAAAATGGGAAAATAATGTAGGGGGTTTTGCTTTCTATTCACCAATAAAAGCTATTTGAATGTACCCTCAAAATGCCTTGGTTATTTCTCCAGCTTCTTCAGTTTCATCCTTTTGTGTGTTTAAGCTGCAAGTTCTACCACAGGACCTGATCTCAGTGCACTAAAACAGGAATCTTCCCATCTCTTCAGCAAAGATCCTTCGACATGGTCAATTGATGAAGTAATGCGATTTGTACAAGAAGCAGATCCTCAGGCATTAGCACCCCATACCGAACTCTTCAGGAGACATGTAAGAAAAGTATAATTTATTTTTAATAGTGCCTAGAATCACATGAAATAAAAAAATTCCAATATATTCCTGAAATCTAATGGACTTTTTTCCTCCAAGAGTATTGAAAGCAGAAAACCACCACTGTAGTTTGTACTAGAAAAGATTTTGTGCCAATATAAGTTCTACTTGATACAGAATTATCCTTAAACATAAACTTAATCCTGAGGTCCCATGAATTCTTGCTGTGTTTTGGGGAAACTATTATTAATTACATAAAAATATACAGAGAAAAATCTTAGAACAGGAAAACATAACTTCATATGTGTGAAATGTTCTTCCTGCTCTGTTGACGAATTTGGTAGGATTAAAATGGATTCCAATTAGTTTACCTATTTGTTAGTCTCTGTTTTCTAAACTGATATATGTGAGTAAGGTAACTGGGATAATGTTATGGGGACAAATAATTTATTAGCACTTCTCTTGATCAAAGATGGGACTGAAAAAAAGAAAACCAGATTGTCAAATTCCAGATGCTGCTTCCCCCATCAGCATCAGAAGTCAGGTATTCTTCACATTAGAAAGGCCAAAAAGGGATGTGATGGATGTCGGTTGGGAAGACCTGAGGGTCTGGAGATGTTTCAGGCCACTAATAACTTGACCTTGAAACAATGTTAAATGTTTATCCATCACCAGCATGGAGATGGAGAGATGGATTCAGTGTAGCTCTCATAGCTACTAAAATAAATTGTTTAAACAAAAATGAGAACTGAAAGAACACAGATTCAGGCTTCTGCAGATCCAAAGCAGACAAATTTGCTTTTCATCTGGTATGTACACCTTTGATGTTCCTACTTAAAGGTGTGTGTGTGTGTGTGTATGTATAAATAAATAAATAAATAAATAAATAAATAAATAAATCAGTTATTTATTTAACTTGTATGTTACCTGATTCCCAATAAACTTGGGCAACTCACAACAAAGAAATTATAATTAAACAATTATTAACAATAATTAAATTTAAAGATAAAATATGACAAGTTGAGAAACCAGATGGAATGACATGAGGGGTCTCATTCTCTCTCCCCAAAGGCTTGAGTGAACTTTTTCCTGAAGTCACAAGATCTGGACAAGGTCATAAAGCTCCATGTTCTGCATTAAGGAAATGGACAGGGTGTAACCATACCAGATCCAAAGCTGCTTTGCCTAGTTCAAGTCATAATACTGTAGCTCTCTATATGTATAACTGATTAGAAATACATTAGAAATTATAGTATATATAATTATAAATTGTAAATTTTATAATATAAATTCTGAAGATTTGTCAGTCTCTTCTGAAAATTTCCAAGATGTTCAGATTTGAATTTCTATTTTTCTCTTGGAAGACATGATGATGTGAGAGAGAGGGTTGTGTTGTGTCAGTCTAGAGTAATATTCTTGTTCTGAAACTAGTCATTAATTACTGTCATCTTGTTTCCTCACAGGAAATTGATGGGAAGGCTCTTCTGTTATTGAGGAGTGATATGATAATGAAGTATATGGGTTTGAAACTGGGCCCAGCATTAAAACTGTGTTATCATATAGAAAGACTTAAGCAAAGAAAGTTCTAGGCAGCGAATGCAGTGATAGTGCTGCATTTTAAATAGACAACCAGTCAGGTTCAAAAAGACAACTATATATAATAGGGCAGAAACTTTGCCTGATCGAATGGATCAAATAATCTCACTCAGCTCACAAAGAAATGTCCAGCGTGTTGGTTCTACTAGTCTAATCAGAAAGAAATATCCTAAATCAGCATTGTTTTATAGATACTTCTTAAATATAGAATTTAATGTTAAAAGTTTCACATTATTGTATTTAATAACCTTTTAAAATATGCAGGGAAGAAGTAGTGCTAAGAATATTTATATGAAAAGCTGCAAAATACATTTTCACCTCTTCAGCTTCAGTTGATGCATTTTTATTCAGAATCAAAACAGCTGAATTCCAAAGGATCTTTATTCTTTTTTAAAAAAAAAATCAAATGTGGATTTTTTTTGCAAAATGGCTGAATTTCTATGCTTGGATGAGGGAAATATTATTTTTAATTAATTAATTATTTTATTATTATAATCACATACATATATTATGTGAAGCATATTTCCATAAAAACAATAGCCATATACTTGTATTGTAAGTATATGTTGTGCACAAAAAAAGCTATCTTTTTACAATTTTAAATTATGAAAATGCATTTTTACAGCATGTTGACAATTTAAGGAGAAAATAATTTCTTTTTTAAGAAGGAACTTCTTATGGCTGATTTGAGCAGCCAACTCCCAAGTGAGCAATAACTTTCACTTTGCTCACAACTATATAAGAAACATTGTACTGAAATTCCATCTAATATAAAGATATATTGTACATAGTGTTCAAGTTTTTTTAAGAGTGTGTTTTAAAGGTATCTTTGCACTGTGACAGATGATAAACTGCAGGTTTTTGTTTGTTTTGAATCATAAACAAAATCTACATTATACATTTTCTCCCTAGTTTATAGGTGTTAATATATCATAAAGCTGTGTCCTAAGACCAGTCACATTTGTTCCAATAAAACATAGGGTCACATAATGTTGAGATTCCCTGGTGGGGACCTGGTGAAGTGTGGAAAATAACTGCCTAAACAGATTTCCTTTTGCATTCTAAAATATGATTTTATGTCACCAGGAAGGAACACAATGAAACACACCATCTTGTGTAGAATCCAGAAGGATTTCAGCCTGTGTAAAGTTTCTAATTAATTGCAAAACTTTACCTTCAGTCACTTTCCACTGCATGTGAATGGCCTTTGCTGGATGAATATATCCTCATACTGTTCATTAATGCCTGTCTGGTTTGTTTCTCATTTCATAGTGGGGGATGGAGAGAAGGGGAAGGGAGGAGAAGAAATAATTAATGGACAGATACATACAGGGCAACTTCTGGCACTATGGAATATTTGGCACTATGAATTCTCATGTGGCGCTGTGCCATTTTATTCTGGGAAAATATCTGGAAAAGAATGGGATGCCTCTCTAATGTCTTTCAGATATAAAAAAAGTCAGTGACTTCTTTTAAGAAAGGAATTGAATTACACTTGGATGCATAATTCATCTGAATCTTGGTGCTTTATCTGTAACTTACAAAAAGTTTTGATAATAAAATACTTTGCTGTCACTGCCAATATAATATGAGGGACAATTTATGTACTTTTGCTGAATAGAGGATCAGATATTCTGTTTGTCCAAGTGTTGCTAGAAAAGATATAGAAAGGAATGTAGTTTTTATATTTCTTACTGCCTTTTTATATGAAAAAACTTCCAGTTAAAATACACATTTGTTGTTTAAAAATGCCTTGTTTATTGTATTAGTGTATTAGTAATACACTAATTACTCAGGTTTAACTAAAAATGGCAAAATTGGAAATCTTTTTTGAAGCGATGCATTTCTTTAAATTACTGATGCTGAATTTAAATGAGATCACTTTGGTGATGTCCTATTTTCTGATGAATTTCTGGCATTCATATTATACTTTACTTCTCATAAGACTGTACAACATCTCCAATATATAACTTTCTTTAACCATTACAGTTATTTATATATGCTCAGGTATTTAAAAATAAGCTGTAAAGGCTGTGATATCTTTTATATCTTTTGATGTCTATTTCTCTCAGTCAAAGTTACATAAACACACCTATTTATCTCATTGTGAAACGTGATAGTTTGTATTTGGCACATAATTGTGTTTGTAATTTTTAAAGGTGACATATATTACACCAATGAACTTCCATTGGTACCATTGGAATTTTTCTTGTTCTCCATCTTGCATCAATATGCTTCATAAATTTGTTCTAGAGAATGCAGCAGATTTGAAGGATGTGTTGGCAATGGGAGAAAAGTCAAATTTGATACTAAATAAGACATTTAGTATAACTTATTTCAGGCACTGTTAAAGGATATTTTAAAATTGTATTCAAATACCAAACAATCTTACAAAAATCTAGTTGTTTTCTGGATTGCAGATAAAATGTCACAAATGTTATTCAAGTAAATTTATATGTTAAAAGTGGTTATAAAACAACACAATATTTTAGACCATGAGGTTTCTCTTATTCATTTTGCTAATGTGTCTTTGAATAGTGCAAATAATGTATACTACATCATGTATACAAACCTACATATGAAACAAGAATGCTACTGAAATTTTAACTTTGTATATGACATGATACAAATTATGTTAGGTACATTTTTCATTATTTTCAACTGGATGTTCTCATCTAAAGAGAAAATAAAAGTTGCTTGATATTTACTTGTCAATTATTTTTGTAATGTAATGTCTTAAATCTGTAACTGACTAATCTCATTACCATGTTTGGTAGCTACTAATACATCAATTAAAATATACTTTAATATAAAATACATGGTTTGAAAGGATTTAATCTTTACAGAAATAATCTTTGAGTGAAATTCTAAACACTGATGTTAACATACTGTAAATTATCAGATTTCTTTGAAAATAGAATCAACTAGGCTGAATGTGGATATTTCTTGAAATAGAAAGGTTTTACTGATGATTGTAATGGCTATCTAATTAGATAACTCAAATGCTTAGAAAATTCTAAATGCTCTTTTTGCATAATCCACAGAATTTGTTAGAAGAGGCAAGAATAAAATCTAGAGAGCAGGCTATTGGTCAATTCCTTATTCCAGAATTAAAATTAAAGATCATCTAAAGACCCCACACAAATGTAGTATGGTGATATACTTTTCATGAAGTATCTGAATTTTTAACATGCTTGTAAGTGTAGGGTTCAGATGATGCAGTGTGGTGGTGAAGGTTTAGTCACGGTTTAGTCAGGATTGTTCTGACAAATATTGGAGGAGAGAATGCTGTCCATACTGCTCAGGCCCCTGAAAGAAAGGCAGAATATAAATCTAAATAAATAAATTGGAACATTCTAACTGTCCTTTTATTAGTACACATGAAATGACAGGAAGAGAAGATAGTTCAAGTGCAAATTATTTGCATACAGAAAGTCCTAGATTCAGTGCTGATGCTTCAAGGAGTTTCAAACACTACAAATAGCACTAAATTTGTAAGTCAAGAGTTTCTTGTCTGCCCACAGAACACATGTAACAAAACAAAGGGCATTTGATCTCCCAGAATTTGCTACATTTTGCATGCCCTGCAATACAGAATGGAATGCCAAACAGCTATCCCAATAAAGCAGTACACAAAACAATGCAATGTTGTTGCTGAAGCAGTCTTAATGATGTTTACTACTCTTAAGCCTAAAACTAGGTTAGTTTAGGTTAGATATTTCCTTCTGAGAATAAGAACAATTGCAGCAATCTGAAATGATGTTCAAACAGTAAGGCTTAGGCCTCTTGCAAATGTGGATGGTGCTTTTCGGTACATAGCAGTAGGTTTTCTAAATTCCCCTGTTGTGCTGATGAACCATATGATTAGCAAAGATGTAATCAGTTGATCATGAAATGAAAACAAGATGGTATCAAAATAGTATCTGCTGTCTCCTTGTAGGAATATACTGCATTAGATGTAATCAAAACAGTAGTTCAGCTAGCAGAATTGCAAATGAAGGCAAATATACATGTCCCAGGATAATTTTGTAGGATCCAATCTGAGTCGGTCACCGGGACCAGAGGTTTCACCAACACCTATGGTCCCATTGATTAACTCAGATTGGATTCTGCAGAATTCTTTTGCTACAAACCA